AATTAATATATCAAAAATAGTAATAAAAAGATTTAAATATTTTTAATAAATTAACACATAAAAAAGATTTATTGAGTGTATCGAAATTTTAATGTTTAAAATAATTTTTTTCAATTTGTGTTTGTGGTTTAGGGTGTAATTATTATTTTTTATATTAATTAATAATAAAAAAATAAAAATTAATCTTTATTTAACTAATTGATTTTAATATATTAGAAGATTTTGATTTTTACTTTTATCTTATTTTAATTTTTTTTTTCGATTTTAAAACCCTTTTCCTTTAAGACTATATAAAAACATTGACTTACAACATATTTATTCCAAAAATGGAAAATAAGAGAACAAAACTTTTTCAATATATATGTATATATAAAGAAGAGGAAAAGTATAACCTAAGCAATGTTACTAAAAACGGCATCGTTCACTTTTCTTTAAAAATAAAAAGTTGCATCGCGCGGGAACGTTGGTGCCTTTTCTGGACACCAACGTTCATCTTCCTTCCTTACCTCGGCTCTCACGGCATCAACGCCGTTTTCCAGTCCCGCTCTTGCCGTCGCTCTCTCTTCAAGAAGGCTAAGTCGCCTCCTTCCGAACCTTCCCATTTCCGTCCAGCTCTACCATTTTCGAAAATTCAAGCTTTTCCCCCTTTCTCCCACAAACCTAACTTCCCTTCCCTATCAGAAAATTCTCATCCAATCACAACAACAATAATAGCAACGGCCCATCATTTCCCAACCTCTGGAAGCTTTCTAAGGAAGGTGATGAAAAGTTTGACCCACTCTTCTCAGAAGATTCCGGCGCGCCAATCTTTCTGGAATCACTGACATCTGAGTCTTCCACCAGCAAGGAAGGAAGACTCGTGGCTAAGTGCCAGAGGAGGTGATGAAATCAATGTGTTTGATGGGATTGATCCTACCATCAAGAAAGAACCATGGGTTAATGCCAGAGCTGGTGAAGAAGACAGTGTGTTTGATGGAATTTGACTCTACTATCAAGAAAGAATATATCGTAGGATGCCAGCGATGCCGATGAAGGCAATGTGTTTGAGGGAATTGAGGAGGCTGGAGAGGAGTGGTGAAGGGTATACCGTAAGGGAGGACAGGCCATGGAGCCTTAGGGGTACTGCCATATCTTCCCATCCAATGTATCTGTCAATTGGTGCCTTAACATTCTATAGTTCGCATGTTAAATAACGAATTTTTCCAAGTACAAACATACAAAATAAAGAATCTTATTATTGTTGTTGGAACTTGGAGCCAAAAAATTTCCTAATGCCAGAACATGAACATTGGTAACTATTGTATTAAGTTTACTAGTGTGCCGCATAGATTCCTCTTAACTTTTCTGCAAGTCATTAGCACTGCAGTGTTCCATTAAAGTACACCAAATCCATTATTCAAGGATGGAAACTTAACTACAAGTAGTGCGGCGGGCGGCATACTAATTTACAGATGAACAGCATACGAATTGTGCCCAGTAAGGTCTCCTCTTGACTTTCCTCTCTCCTCTCTTGATGTCAGATGGATACCTTGCTGGAGAATCCCATTCTTTTGCTGCTTCTGTCTTGGCAGCCTTACCTACAGGTGCTTCATGACCTAGAACCGAGCTCACTTTCATGGCAGAGTCTCCATTATCTTTCAAAAAATTTTCATCTCTTTGAATCACAGTGTACGGGTTATTCTTTGGGTTAGGTGATGTGGGTTTGTTTTCAAAGTTGGCCGCACCCAAAAGATTCTTCAGAGGAGTGTTCTGCTTCACATTCCAGTTTGTTACCTTTGCAATGATCTCTTCATTCTTCTTCCTTCCTTGAGACTCATTTGACATGTGAGTAAGAGAAGGAAACCAGCCAGCTTGCATAGCAGAAGCTTTGAGCTGTTCTGGGTTCTTTCTTATCTGCATTTCAGAAGCAGCAACAGTTTGGCCACTGCCTCCAGGTTCAACCAATGTCATGAAAGAAGGTGGCTCAAATAAATCTGATTTATCAGGATGTTGTCTCTCAGATGCCACTTCTGGCTTCTTTACGTTACCCTTCTCTGCTTCTGAAGGTGGTTGGGAATCAGTTGACGGTAAAGCATTAGTGTCTATGCTGGTTGGGATATCTGATGGAGTTGAAAGAACTGTTCCATGCATAAAAACAAGAAAACAGACTGAATCTACGGAGAGATGATGTCTTTACGCAATGCATCAAATTTAAAGATCAAAAGTTCTGCAATGTACTAACAGAGAAGCATCAGATAAGTTAGCAAAGCAGATATTTGGAAGATGCAAATATACCTGAAACGGATCCCCAGTTGCCTTCTAAACTGTCAGTTTGACTACTTGATTCTACAGAAGCATCAACTGCAGTTGTGTCTAGTTGATGTTTAATGAAGCTATTGCCAACTTCTCCATGCAAAGAGTGAAAACCAACACCATATGATGCCTCTCCAGACTCCCTAGTATTATTGTTTTCAACAGGAGGCAAACTCTGAATGGTGGCCCCAACATCTACAGGAAATGATGGTAGCTCTTTCTTTGTCTGGCCCTCTGATGGTGATTCTATCTTTGTCTGGCCCTCAGAATTTTTCTGGGAGTCAGGTCCTCCACTATTATTTGATTCAATAGCCAGTGAGAATTCAGCAGCACGGTCCCCTTGTACTTCCCCAGTGCCATTCATTTCATGTTCCTTGAATTCTTCAGGAATCTTTGAAACTTCATTGACATGTGTGCTGTCTGTCTCTTGTAATTTCCTCAGGCAGTCATCATTCACATCCTCCAGATTAACTTGGTTTTCTTGATGATTGCTGGCCAATTCAGATATGGAGTTTGTCTTTGTTGAAAAATCTTCATTGTTCTGTGCTTCAGCACTCTCAACTTGATTGATATCAAAATTTTCAGTTTCTGCATTTCCGTGATCACCAGCATTATCATCTTCGAGTAAGCCAGATAAAGGGTGAACATGTGATTTAGAAAGATTTCTTGCAGATTCTATAGAGTTTATCATGCTTTCAACACTGTGCTCCATATCATCTTTTCTGTCATTGTAAGCAATATTGCATCCTCCCGTTTCAGCCTCTTCATGTTCAGCATCATCATTAGAGGAAACCATATTGGCTATTTGATTGACTTCAGAATCCACAGAAGCAACAGAAGGATTCATATCAGAGAAGATTCTTGTTGCAGTCCCACAGTAAGCTGGTTGTCTTAAATCATCACAAGTATCATTAAGCTTCTGCTTTTCAGGAGAGCATATCTCATTCTTTGTTGTAACAGAGCCCCCTATTTTATCTGATCCTACGTTGACCTTCAGCACATCTTCACCACTAACTTCTTCTGCTACCATAGGCCTGCTGTTCCAATCTTCATGTTTAAAGCTACCTCCCAAAACATGCACATCTGAAGCAGAGACATCAACACCTCCCAATTTTCTTGACTCAGAAAGGGAATCTTGAATTTCACCTTCCCTATTGCGGTCTATTTCCCCAGAAGCTAAGGGTACAGATTGATATAAATGTACTTTCTTATGATCTTTGATATCTTCAGGCATCATCTCAGCATGATCTACAATAGGGATATCACCAGGAACTGAAAGCAAATGTGCACCTCCAACTGCATATCCCTTTTTGTTGCAATACTCATTTGAATTGAGAAACTCTGTAGTTTGTGTTGCATCCACCTTGCTATAAGCAGTATCAAGAGAAGCACTGATATGCTCAGTGGATTCAGCTTTCGGGGAAAAATCACCTGCAGCAACATTAGAAGCTAACACTCTCTGAGGCCCTTGCTCCACTCGAATGATTTCATCTGCCAGTTCAATATGTGGAGTTACCTCCTCTTTCTTCTCTGCATTCAATACTGTATCATAAGTTATGTTCACATCTTTGCCCTGTGAGATTGCAGCACCCATTAGATTTCCTTCCATATTAGTTCCCGGATTTCCCTTTCCAGCAGTCTCTTGCAAATCTTCCTCCAATTGAACCACACCATCTGTCAACACTGTACCTGACTCTATCTTAAAACTCTTTTCAGATTTAGATGCTTGCTCGGATGTTTCACCTGCATGATTAATTGGTGAACCAACATCATCCAGGAGGTTTGTGCCTACATTGATTTCTTTGTTTGCCACGGCATCAGTCTCTTGGCCAACAAACATTGAGCATTCTGCCATGCCATCACTTGTGGTGATGTTCTTACTGTCTTCTGATGCATCTGCTGAAGTTTCAAGTTTGATATGCTGCTCCAAAACATTACTACCATCAATAAACAAGTCAACAGGTTCTTTGGAACTTGAGGCATGATCGTGGCAATCTAGCGTTCTCCCTGACATGGTACATGTTCCCTGACTTCTCTCAGTTGAACTCTCTGGTGATTGAATAATATCTGCATAATTATATATAGAAGTTGTTATTGTAACAAAATTATTTTAAAGAGCAAAATTTTCTTTGAAAGGAACTATAACAAAGCCATAATACCATCAATTATTGGATGTTATCTACGAAGGAGGCAAAGAAGCCCCACATTAGTAAAGTAATGGTTGTACTATTTATTATGATACCTCCCTTGAAAGCATAAAAGATTAAAAGCATTCGAAGTGCCAAAGTGGAAAGCACAACGAATAAAGGAAAAAGCAGATAAAAGAGCAATAAAACTTCACAAGAACAATAAGAGAGTGAGACAGTATAATGTTAAGAAGCATAACTCATGCACATGTATGTCTGAGAAATTTTGATCACCATTTTGAATGAATACACGAGCAGGGTAAATGTATTTATACAAGGTAATCTAACATACTGTTTAGCCGGTTCGAGGACTTGGGCATAGACAGGACTGCCTAACTGTTCATATAGCATCAAAGAACCGTTCTAAAATCATCTAACATAGGCTCTATATTCTAGCACTTGTTTTTTTTTTTTGGTAGAAATTCTAGCACTTGTTTACTTCTGTCTTGTTCACATCACATGTGAATAAACATGTAAAGATGCAGTACTTCAAGATTAAGGCTAGAATAATTCTACTACAAACAACCTCATACCTTTCTACCAAAAAAAAAAAAAAAAACAAAAAACAACATCATAACTCTCCATCTCAGTGTCCTAACAATTGACTTGATGTGAGGGTCAACCATGTGCGTGGGCCTAAGTGTCTGGTTAGTCAAAACTTCAAAATCTAAGATTTAGGGGTATGAGGCAGGCATTGGGGTTGCTACATGTTGTCCATCATATAATCTTAAATTAATGACCAGGATCATCTTTGGTTTCTGAAATTTCAGTTATGGTACCTAAAGTCAGGAACACCAAATTTAATATTAAAGATAAGATTTTGTTAAAGGCCTACTCAAACTTTCAATCTAAGTTACGTTTTCCTTAATGCTCAATTATGTATGCAACTATTACACCAACTGTATTCTTTATCAGACAGGCATAGGCACAAATCTTGAAGGCTATTGGACCATTGCAAGGAATTACCCCAACCACTATACAGTAATGAAATTTTCAGACAATTAATTAGATGAATTACATTACATTGAGATGAAACTTCTAAACAGAATAAGACGTCTGATCAAATCAAATACATACAAATAAACTAAAAACTAAGGCATTTGTTCATGCTTGATTGCACCTATACTTGTTAACACTAACAGGACATCTTAATCTAATACATATGCTTGCTGAAAACCCAATTGTCATACAAAAAACAAAGTATAAATCTGATTCATATAAGTAATTGTCACCGGTCTCTCCATTTAATTATTTGGTTAAAGCTTACCAGTATTTGCACAATCATTAAAAGACGGGTTGGGACCCAGATCCTTCCCAGAAACCCTATCTGCTGGATTGCTGGCATTGTCCTGAGTGTTTGAGCTTCCTGGACAAAATCCACTATCTTGAAATTCCGCAACAGCATCAGAAAACACTTCACCTTCAGATCTATTTGATACAGTTCCAATTCCGGCAATATTTTTCTCCCCATTACCATCCAAAACCTTTGGAACTGGAGCAACCAAACTCAATAACATAAGAAACGCATGTACAATTCCGGACATACTTTATATATATTTCTCATAGCAGTTTATTAGCAGTGTGTGTATATATATATATATACACACACACATGTATCTAACATATTAATGAGTGAGAGCTTTTACCAGGGGTTTTCTGATCTTCATCAGATAGGTGGTCATCATCAGAAGCAGCACCATGGTTGATCTCCCCTGAGTCAACCAGTTTGTAGCCTTCAATGGTTCCACAGACCCTCTTGTGAGCACGCCTGTTCTTAGCACTTGGATGTGGATTAGGAAAAGGCCAGCCGCATTTGTGACACAGATGAACCCCATGACTCTCATGCCCTGCAAAAGAAAAAAATTATAAAAATCCCATCAACAAAACTTCTCCCTGGAGAACCTGAATGGCACACAGAAAACCCAAAGAGATTTCCTATAAAACATAACGAGAAAAGGAAACCCATGAATCTTTTCCATCAAAATAACCAAGAACAACCTCAAAGAGAGAAAGGAAGAAACCTGAAACATGATCAGTCTTTCTGTAATCTTGGTTGTCCATATCCAAAGAGGAAAGAGAAGCAGAACTATGGAAGGAGAAGGTGCAGTTGAGAAAAGGGTAATGAAGTGTTTTGGTAGGGAGAGATGAGGGAGCAGATAAAGTAGGAAGACTGACTTCTACCTACAGAAGAGAAGAGGAGCAACAAGAAGAAGTCTTATTTGTACAGTGCTGCGTGTCTGTACGGAAGAGAAACAGGCGGTGATGAAAACTGCCTAACCAGTGAAGAGTAGTGCCCCATGTGCGCATGCTGCCGCATGACCCCTTCCAACTCTAAGGATTTATTTCTGGTGGGAAACCATTTGTACCCGGACCCGACTTCATTTGCCGCTTACAGTGGTTGTACTTTTGAGACCTCTTCAAAGTTTAAATAGATCGCGTTGTTATCAAATGGGTAGTTAGTGAGGACGCTTGTGGACGGTAAAAAATTAGTCATTGATTCTGCCGAAGAATGTTTCAAATTCAGTGGAATAATTTTTTTTAATAAATTATTATGTGTGCTCTAGACATTTATTTCATATAATATATTTATTATATTTTTTTATTATAATAATAATTTAAATAAAATTTTATAAAAATAAATTTTTTTTAATATTATGTGAAATAATTTAATTAAATAACCGATAAAATTTACATTTAAATTTCGTAATTTGATTACTATATATTTTATGTAAAGTGCATTCCCTAACTTTAAAACTGGAGTTGAATTCATCCTTTTCTAAATTGTAATACTTCAAAAAAATAATAATTGATAAAATTTATACAAATTAATAATAAAATAATAATAATTATAACCTGACATAAGTTTCAAAAATTTAAAATTATAATTGTGCTATCTTCATCAAGGAAGGTCATGCAAGTATTATATTAGGAAATAACAATGCACCGAATATTTATATGAAACAAATTCAGAAATAAGAAAAATAAAATGATTTAACAATTAAAATATCAAGATTGTTATTGAAATGACTAAAATATTTTTAATGAATTAACACATAAAAATAAAATTTCACAAAAATTTCTAATATTTTAAATCTTAAAACATTCTGATTTTCACATCTCCCATAAAATTTACCATTATGCTAGGTATGTTAATATTTTGTCCCGTGGACAATTTTAGATGGAATATACAAATCTATTTTACTTTACTACTCTATATTGTATATTTGTCTATTTATCGAGATTTTTTTTACATAGTAAAAATGTATTAATTATGCATAAATA